AGAAAAGCTGGACAGCTTTGAAAAGAATGTCTAGTATTTATTATATAGATTTTCTTGAAATGGAAATGTATTGCTTTATATTGAATCCTCTCATGTTCTTCTGTGTACATGGCAATTTTTTTCTTTTCTTATTGTATACTTAAGTTTAAAATAAATTTAAAAACTTAAAAAATAAAAGAATTAAATAATGGCAAAAGAAAAGAAAAGAAAATTGCCTGTTCATATCTTTTGATCATTTATCAATTGGGGAATGGTTTTGTTCTCATAAATTTGAATGTGTTTCCAATACATGTAGGAAATGAGACCTTCATTGGAGAAATTTATTAAAAATTTTCCCACTTACCTGCTTCTCATCAATTTTAGCTACATTGGTTTTGTTTCCAAAGCACATTTTTTGTGTGTGTGTGAGGCAGTTGGGGTTAAGTGACTTGCCCAGGGTCACACAGCTAGTAAGTTTCAAGTATCTGAGGCTGGATTTGAACTCAGGTCCTCCTGACTCCAAGGCTGGAGCTCTATCTACTGTGCCACCTAGCTGCCCCACAGCATCTTTTTAAAAAAAAAAAAGAAGAAGAAGAAGAAGTAAAATACATTTTAGTTCTTCACAATTTTGCCCTATAGATGTAATCATCCATCCACCTGGACCAGTTAGAGTCATCTTCTGCCATCTTGCCTAATCCTTTCATAATACTTCATCTGGATGGTCAATAATACACATTCAGATGTTAAAAGGAACTGTATGATCCCTAAACCTCTCCATTCACCCATTTGTCACCACCTTTAGATACAGAAATATTTAAGACCCTATTCTTCCCTTTCAACAAACAGATCTGACATCTGATATGGAAACGGGAGGAGGGTAGAAGGAAAAAATGTCCCTAAGTTCAGTTACTTTGGAGAGACAGAACATTTATCATACATTAGCATGAGTGAGAAGTGCCTGTTCTGAGGAAAAGGTTAAATGGAACAGTGAAGAGAACACTGAATTTAGAGTCAGAGAACCTGGGTTTGAATCCCAGTTCTGTCACTTACTACCTATGTAGCCTTATCCAGGTTACTTCTCTGGATCTTAGTTAACTCATCTATAAAATAAGGTGGTAGGCCACTTAATCCTAATTGCCTAAAATAAATAAATAAAATAAAATAAGGTAGTAGGACCAGATGACTTCTGAGGTCCCTTCTAGCCCATTTCATGAAATGGATCCATGAAATCTAAATCCATGGAAGATTTAGAGTCCAAAAACTTAAATCCCAGCTTTTTATTACCTACATGACCTTGAACAAATCACTAAGTGATAGTTTCATCACCTCAAAAATGACAGGCTGGTGTTAGTTTCTTTATCTAGAAAATGAGTGGTTTGACTCAACTAGATAATGTTACTTTAAGGTCTATCCCAATTCAAATTTATGATTCTATGTGACTGAACAGAGGCATTCAGATGTGTATGAACCCTAAGTAAGCCTCAGGACCTTTATTGGACACACTTACTTTAAGCTCGTTGAGGACAGGGACTGTCTTTTTTCATCTTTGTATCCCCAGCACTTAACACAGTGCCTGGCACATAATATTATGCTTAATATATGTTTATTGATTGATTGACTGATTGATTGATATCTGCTACACTTATTATCTTATATTGCTTCTTATATAGACATTTGTGAACATGTCTAATTATTATTATTATTAATGACAAAAATAGCTAGCATTTATATAGCTTTACTTAGTATTTTATATATTTATATAAATTTATAAAGTGCCTTAAAGTTTGCAAATCTCTTTATAAATATTATCTCATTCAATCCTCACAGCAATGTTTGGAGGTAGGTACACTTAACCTGTGCCTGCCTGTTTTCTCATCCATAAAATAGAATAATAATAGCACTTATCTCCCATAGTTGTATAAGCATAAAGCAAGATAATAGTTATAAAATGTTTTGCAAACTTTAAAGCACTATATAAATTCTAGATATTGTTATTATCCTAAAGATGAGGAAACTAAGGCACAGAAGGTTAAGTGATTTGCCCAGGGTCATAAAGTCAGTAAGTATCCAAGGCTGGATTTGAATTCAGGTCTTCTTGACTCCAAATCCAGCACTTCACTATGCCACCTAACCAACTCTTTTTTCCACACCATCTAAAATAGCATCTTGGACAAAGATAGTCATCGATATTTTATGAATGAATGTAAATAGCTCATCTTTAAAAGAATATGCATTCAGGTGGGAGGAAGTGATCAAGCCTACCCTGGACCTCCCACACTTAACAGCCTAGAACACGTACCCTTAGCTTTTTTTAACTCTGGAAGGATTCAAGAAGTGGATTTCAAATGCCTTCAAGGAGCATGGAACAGAATTGGAGCATTTCCCCATTTTTATTTCACATGATAAACACCGCCTCCAACAAAGGGCAGGACCATAGTCACAAATGTTATCATCAATGCCACTTCTTACTGTACAAAAGAAAGAGTTGCTTAGGTCAGGAGGCCCTGAGCCATGCCCTTGATCTTCTAAAGCAGGACCTCAGTGATATCCATCTCTAAGGACTAACATACTAAAACTACAGATGTGGTTCAGATGCTGCATGTACATCTCCTTTCCATGCTTGTAATCATCTACTTGCATAAAGTTTGTGCATGATCTATTCTCAAATAAATGGTAATTTAGGAGAGCAGAGTACTTGGAGAGGATTTGGGTTCTGAATTAAATTCTCAAGAATAGGGGTAAAGTGTTGGGATAGACAGCTGTATCTCTGAGGCTGATTCAGAAGGAACCCCTAGCCCTCATCTGGTGCCCACCATGGCAGCAAGTCTAGCCTTTTGTCACACTGCTCTAGCATTCTTTCTTGGCGTATATTCATTCCTCAAAAGAAATCTTAGGGGCAGCTAGGTGGTGCAATGGATAGAGCACCAGCCCTGGACTCAGGAGGATCTGAGTTCAAATCTGGCCTCAGACACATAACGCTTACTATTGTGTGACCCTGGGCAAGTCACTTAACCCCATTGCCTAGCCCAGAAAAAAATTTTTTTTTAATTTAAAAAAAGAAATCTTGTTCCCAGTGACTCTGGTGCTAATCCTGATGAGCTGGTTAGCGCTAGTAGTGAGAGGACATAAGCAGGACTAACAGTAAAAGAATCAGAGAGTGGGATTCAGCCTGGACCTGGAAGGTTTTCTCATACCACTTTACCACCAGGGTGCCTGATGGGGAGAAGAGTGTCAGAACTGCAGTGTGGCTAATCTCCAGGAGTAGACTGTCATAGCAGCAGGAATGGCAGTCCCACAGTGAGCATCAGAAACTGTTTTTTGTTGTTGTTGTTGTTGCTACTATCTGTGGGTTTTCAGGGTAGGGTCAAGTGTGTCCAGTAATGAATGGACCCTTCCAAGGAGACAGGGTAAGTTACGATAACTACTGCCTTAGACTGAAGTACAATAAATCTGAATTGCTAGCTAGCAGTGACCTCTGCAAAGAAAGAAGATGAAACGACCAGAAGGTCAATAGAGGGGATGGAGATGTGACTGAGCCCCTGCCTTCCTGAGCAGAAGTAGGAGATTCAAGACAAGGTAGAGAGTATCATCCTCAAGAAAAACTGAGAAAGCAAGGAGGTCAGAGAGAAGCGAAATCTGTTCACATTGGATTGATAAGATAAGCTGTGCTAATATGAGAGCCTTAATTTTGGAATAATGGGATAGAAGTTGACTAACACATTCCTGTAAATAAGGCAGACTTGGAAAGAGTCCTGCTATTGAGAAATACTATGGTATCTATCAAGTACATTGTCTGTATAATACCATATCAAACAATATATTACCATAATATCAATATTAAAGTATAATAATATAGTACTTCAAAGAGTCATGCTTACTTAAAGGCAAGCAAACATTGATATTGATAAAATATTGATATGTATATGGTAGTCCACTACTCAAGAAGCTCCATGGCTCCCTATTTTCCCTAGGACAAAATACAATAACCTCCTCAAGTAGATTGCAAACTATCTATGCCTTGACAGACAGTTTTCATGAGCTGTGAGGGCAGAAAAATTCAATATTCATATGGACTATTTGTGCCCAACCTGTGGTAGAGCCTTTCAAGATCATATCGGTCTGATCACCCATAGCCAAACACATTGTACTTTGATTTCAACATAGTGATGTCATTTAGTTCCTCTTCAAAAATGAAGGACAACAGCCATTCAATTATTTTATTAAATCTTGTTAATTCTACCTTCTAATCCATCTCTCAATCTCCTCTCCAGTCATGTGGCCATCACCCTATTCAGTCCCTGATCACCTCTTAACTACAGTATTGCAATAGTCTCTTAACTGGTCTCCCTATATCATCCTTTTCCCCTCTGAAATCCATCCTCTCCATAGCTGCAAATTTGATATTGCCAAGCACAGATTTTATCATATCAGTCTCTTAAGGGCTCCAGAAGCTCCAGAGCCTTCCCTCTACTTCTAGAATAAAATTTAAACTCCTTTAATGGCAATTAAAACTCTTCAAAACACTGAGTCCAGTCTGCCTTTCCAAGAATATTGTATGTTACTTCCCTTTCCACACTCTATATTCCAACCTAACTAACCTACTTCCTATTCCCCAAGTATAACATCCTACCTCCATCTCTATAACTTTGCATGGGATCTCCCCTACTTGGAGTTTTCTCCTTCTTCAGGAGCACTTTAAAGAATCCTTGGCTTTCTATAAGATTCATCTCAAGGTCTCCCTCCTGTATGAGCCCTACCCTGATCCCCACAATCTTCCCCTTCCCAGTATCTTACATACTTTTTGTGTATATTCTGTATTTACTTTGGGGGGTATGTGTGGTTTCCTCCCAATAGGATGCAAGCCCCTTAAGAGTCAGAATTGCTTCGTTTTTGTCTTGTGTCCCTGGTACCTAGCAGAGTATCCAGCACATAGTAGACATCTAAAAAATGTATATTGAATGAATGAATGTTAAGTACATTAGAAAAGAACTATGTTTCAAGTCAAGACATCTTGGTTTCAGGTTCCAGCTTCAATAACTGTAAGTAGGAGGAGAAGAGAGAAGAATCAAGCCTTTTTCCAGCCTTCCTTTTGAGACAGCATTTATGCATTTTCAGTTAAGTGGAAAATAGCAGTGAAGCAATGAAGGCCATCCACTGAGAGAGGTATGTTTTAAATCAGGGGTCTTCCTGTTTCCCATAGTTATACTTTGACCAAGTCCATGTGACACCAAAAATTCAACCCACTTGGTTATTTGGCATTTTATATCATGTAGGGCAGTGTTGTCAACCTCAAATAGAAATGAGGACCACTAAACCATACACAGGATCCCTGCAGGATGCATATTACCTTAGAAAACCACACATTAACATTATCTATGTTCTATTATATTTTTATTTATTTTGTTAAAATATTTCCCAGTTACATTTTAATCAGGTTAGGTTTGTACATGGGAGTGTTGTTGGCCACAAATAAGCAATTATCTCATAGAATTGTTTATTTTTCTCTCACATGCAAAATTGTCCCATAGATACATCTTCAATAGAGCTCACTCATTTTTTACTTGTCCAAATGGTTTGGAGGCAAGATCATTTTCAGGTTCTTCTGAGTGACAAAGAATTAGAATGACAAGCATATGGATCATATTCAATAAGATCTTTCATAGTAAATGATTTTTTTTAGATTGTGGACTGGATTCACAGACAACATCCCACCTGGGACCTAGTGGATCCTATCTGCCCTTAGTCTGTCTTACTTTAAAAATTCAAATTGCATCTTACAGAGCATTGTATTTCTGCATAGCACTATATATTTTAAGATCTTTTCTTTGAAAAGAGTGGAGTTCATTTAAAATTATACTTTTCCATAATACTGAAATGTTAGTTGCAGATTATTAGAAATGATCATCAGTAATAATATCAGTAATAAGAAAATATATGGCTAACTTTGCAGCATGTGTGTAATAATCTTTTTTCTTTCTAATTACTAAAACATTATGATTAGTAATAAAGATTTTTGTGATTACTGAGAAAATCAGATTATTTTCCACAGCACCCAAGAAACTACTATACATCCCTAGGGTGCTTTGCCATATGCTGTCAGAAAAAGGTTAGTACATCAAAATAAAATCTATTCATCATTCCAACTAAATTCATAGCCACAGTAGTAAATATGCTGAAGCCATAATTGTTAAGTGGGACTAGATCAGAAAAGCCCAAGACCCTGAGACCAGACAAAGCTATTGGGCTGGGTCTGATAGTGGGGAAAGCTTTTAGCTGGCAAGTAAAGAAAAAATTGGAGGACAAAGGGCACATGATTTTGAGGGCATGATATTGAAGGAAACAATGATGGATTATAGAGACTCTATTAGGCTGGTAGCTAGTCAGTATCTGAAACATCTGGTGGCAAGGAATAGGAAATTAAATTTTGGTAATAATATAGGTAAGTTGGGTAGGACTCCAATGCCCAGTGGGCCTGGAAGAATAAGATATGATCTTAGTCTCAATCTATCCCTCTTTAGGGGTAGGTAGGTGGCAGAGTGGATAGAGCACTGGGCCTGAAGTCAAGAGGACCTCAGTTCAAATCTGACCCCAGACACTTATTAGCTATGTGACCCTGGGACTGAAGAACTAGAAGACTGAAGAGACAGGCAGCATGCCATGCCCATTATTATAGGTAGCTGGGGAAAAGGAGAAACCTAAGTAAAATAATAACCTTTGGGAGATCAAAGGAGAGCCATATGTATCCTCTTATCTCATTATTCTTGGTGAATCTAATTGTTCTTGAATCACCCTTGGTGGTGGTTGTGGCCAGCTTTGCAAGGGGCAGGGGTGAGGGTGGGAAAGTTCAGGCCAAAGTTTTCCCATGTTACTTCTGTTCTCAACTCCCTGCCTAAGGAGATGATAAACTCACTGTGCTGGGTTCCTATGTCCATCTCCAAATGGGTAAACAGGTGTTTTGTGCTGATTGAGGACTTCTGATTACAGAGGCAAGTACATCAGAGTAGTGGGGCAGCTAGGTTCGTCCTGGTGATCTCAGAGAGAATTGGAGACTTTGATTTGAAGACTGGTGGCCAATTCAGGAACCCAGAAGATCCTGTGTAGTCACTGGCATGGCTCCATCAGCTTGCAGCATTTCTGAAACTTGTTGCAGAGAGCAGCAAGCTCTTCATTTTTCCGGCACTGACTCACACATCTCCCCTGGTATTTCTGACATTTCTCATCAAGGAATCCAGCCCCAGCTATATAAGTGAAGAAGTCACAAGAATTGTTTCCATAAGAAAACATTGCTGGTTTTCAGATATAATTCCAGGGATGAGCTGGTCACAATGCCTGAATAATTGTTGCCAGCCCAGCCCTGACCTTAATAAGAGGAGAACTAGTCAGTGCTGTCTCCCTGATGTGATTCCTTCCATGTCAAGAGGTGTACAGAGAACACACTTAGACCTGAAGTCTATCACATAGGAACACTAGATATGACATCTTCAAAGCAAACAGCTGTCTTCTCCTAAAGATTCATCTGGAGATTCATCTGGTTCCCCCATGCCTAGAGTGCATACTCCTGGAAAATCTGTCTCATGGAATCCTTGGTTTCTTTGAAATCTCAAGCACCACCTTCTACATGAATCTTTTCCTGATCCCCATCCTCTCTCCTAATTGTTAGTATCCTGTCTCCCAACATTCTCTTGTATTCATTTTACATATATTTTTATGTACATATTGTACATGTCCACATTATCTCCTCTGTTAGAATCTAAGCTCTTTGAGGATAGGATTATTTTGCTTTTGACTAGATCTTTCACAGTTAGCATAGTGCCTGGCACATAGTGGGTATTTAATAAATGCTAAATCCCACTTTATAGCTGCTAGGAATATGGAATAGGCTGTTCTGTAAATATATAAGTTCTAGACTTTCCTTACTGCTCCCAGACTGTATCACCAGGGCTGAGATTTGCTTCTGAAATTCGGGAGGAGACAGGGAGGCAATTCACAAGATATTCTCTTGTATAAGCTACAAGCAATGGATAAAAGTAGAATATATTTATTGACCAAGGGTAGACCCTGGGCCTATTCCCTTCGAACTCCTAGGATGGATATGATGATGTGCTTTCTCTGTCATCATTATCCCTCTCTCTTCTACTTCCTCTTCCCTTTGTCTCATATCTGTCTGCTAGGTCATCTCTTTCTTACTACCTATTAATAATTAAGCCTTTAATTGGCTTATAAGCTACCCCTTTCCCAGCTCATATCAAGAGGTATAAAAGAGGAGTTTGGGGAGCAGAGACAATGCTCCCAATACCCTACCTATGTGGCAAGCCTTATTCACAAAAATTATAATTGTGTCACATAATATGTCTCAAAGCACAGATCTCCAGGAGAACATATGCCATGATTTCTTCTATTGATAACTGTCCCTCTCACTCCAGGGCCCTCTAGTCATTTTAGGATTTTACACCAATGGAGGTGCCCTCTCTCACAAGAGAATAACTTGGAATTTCTCCCAGTCTGTATTTGACCTATTCCCACAGAAATACCCATTTTACCTGAGTCAGCTTGAGCCAAAAAGAAGAAAAGAGCAAAGAGAAAGGGAATGTTCCCCATAGCAGAAATCACCAGAAGATCAGTAGAGATCAGAGCACTCCATGAGACCAAGCACTCTTGTTTATAGTTCTTTCTAGGCCAGGAAGTCATTTTGATCAACGAAGCTTATCAGAGATAAAAACTCTTCCAGGGTCTACTCAACCATGTCATCAGAAGGTGAGCCATCACCTTTGCTATTGCACTCTGTGGGTGTCATTCAAGACACTGGTCTGGAGCCCTTCCTTTTCTCTAACTCTGAAACAGAGAAAGTGGCTTTGCTCCTTTAATTGGATACCAAGAGTGGAGGCATAACTTTGCCTTAGAAGCAAAAAAATAAAGTGTAACAGCCTGTGAAATTATAATGACCAAGCTCAAGATGAGAAAATGCAGTTCCCTTATTTGCCAAAGTGAGGAGGTATGGATGTAAAATATTAAACATCCCATCTCATCTTTCAACTGAGGTGTTCCTATTACTGAGCTACTTTTTTTTTTCTCTATCCTTTTCATTTTGTGTTACATGTGTAGGAGAACTGGTCTTCAACCAGTCTCTGAGCCCAGAAAGCCCAGAATGCAATCACAGAGTAAAGGGCAGATAACAAGCTGTTGAACCAAGTATAAAGGTTAAGTCATACTCATAATTCCTTTTCAAAGTGTGAACAAGTATTTCCTTCACTGGAAATTGAAAGGAGAATCTCTGGGATGTTGCCTGTAACTTGCATCTACACTCCTAGGTTGGGACCTTAGAGGATGATTACTACTTTTTTTTTTATTAATTTATTTTGATTTATCAACAATCACTTCCATAAGCCTTTGAATTCTAAATATTTCTCCCCCTCTGTCCCCCCTCCCTCCCCAAGATGGTGTATAATCTGATATAGGCTATACATATAGATTCCTATTAAACATATTTTCACATTGGTCATGTTATAAGGAGGAATTAGAACCAATAGGAGGAACCACAAAAAAGAGGAAACAAAACAAAACAGGAAAAAAAAATAGCAAATGGTATGCTTCAATGCGCATTCAAACTCCATAGTTCTTTCTTCGGATGTGGATAGTATTTTCCATCATGAGACCTTTGGAGACGTCTTAGATCCTTTCATTGCTCAGAAGGGCTAAGTCTATTAAAGTTAGTCATTGCACAACATGGCTATTATTGTGTACAATATTCTTCTGGCTCTGCTCACTTCACCCAGCATCAGTCCATAACAAGTTTTTCAAGGTTTTTCTGAAGTCTGCCTGTTCATCATTTCTTATAGTACAGTAGTATTCCATTACATTCATATACCACAACTCAGTCATTCCCCAATTGATCAGCATCCTCTCAATTTCAATTCTTTGCCACCACAAAAAGAGTTGCTTCAAATATTTTTGTGCATGTGGGTCCTTTTCCCATTTGTGTGATCTCTTTGGAATACTGCCCTAGAAGTGCTATTGCTGGGTCAAAGGGTATGCACATTTTTATAGTTCCAAATTTGGGCATAATTCCAAATTGCTCTCCAAAATGGTTGGATCATTTCACAACTCCACCAACAATGCATTAGTATTCCAATTTTGCCACATCTTCTCCAACATTTATCCTTTTCTTGTTTTGTCATGTTGGCCAATCTGATAGGTGTAATGTGGTACCTCAGAGTTGTTTTGATTTGCATTTCTCTAATCAATGATGATTTAGAGCATTTTTTGTATGACTATAGCTGACTTTAATTTCTTCATCTGAGAACTGCCTGTTCATATCCTTTGACCATTTATCAATTGAGGAATGGCTTGTATTCTTATAAATTTGCCTTAATTCTCTATCTATTTTGGAAATGAGGCCTTTATCAGAGACACTGGTTGTAAAAATTCTTTCCTAGTTTTCTACTTCTCTCCTAATCTTGGTTGTCTCTCTCCTGATGATACAGCCTCCTTGGCCACCCATTCCAGCACTGGTTGTAATTTCATTCACCTCCCCCTCCCCTGCCACTAGTCATGTTGGAGACCCTACTCTTCATTGCCGCTTCCAAGCAGTCCCTGTACCATAATCACTCAGTAACCTTTCCTCTTTTGAGGTTCATTCAATCCATATCTACAATCCAATAAAATTCTGGTAGCTGCTGTTTAGCAAAATCTGCAGATCACTCACCTTTGCAGAGAACACAGGGAAAAGAGTCATAGCTTTAGAATGGAACATTTAGGGGGAAAGGTTGAGAGGATGGGAACAAGAGAGCAGGCATCAGGCGATGCAGAATGAGATTTGAATACTGACAATTGAGGGGCTCAGAATCACTGGAATGGGGAGGGTATAACTTGGTGGGAAGTGGTTAATCATTGAGGAATAAAATCAGGTAGAATGAGTTCCCCCAAGGTGAAGAAGGTGGGGGTGGGGTCAGTCAAGTAATAACCCAAAGGTTGCTAGATGGTAGAGTGGATAGAAGGCTGGAGCTGGAGTCATAAAGACCTAAATTCAAATTCTGACTCAGATACCTACTAGCTATGTGACCTTGGACAAGTCACTTAGCCTATCTCTGCCTCAGTTTCCTCATCTGTAAAAACAACATATAATAATAGCATCTACTTTCCAGAGTTGTTGTGAGGAGAAAATAAGAAAATATTTGTAAGGTGCTATATAAATACCAGCTATTACAACTACTACTACTACTGCTACCACCACTTAGAAATTCCTGCGGTTTAGTGTCAAAGACTACCCAAACAAAAACACTTTCCCCTGCTCTCTACTCTCCCATCCCTATTCATCTCGGTAGTATGCCTCATTTGTACCACTACTACTCTTCTCTCTCCTTCCATATGCCCTCTGGAACCTCATTCTATTGCTAACTAAGCAATGATCATTGTAGAACTCTTCCTCATACTTCTTCCATCTCCTTGCAATTAAGAAAACAGAGCTTCCCTCAATGGACACAGTGTCCCTGTCCCTTCTCCAGAATCAGAAGTCCCTTCTCTCATACTCTTCTCTCCACACCCAAACACAAGGATACTGAGTGAGTAGAAGGATGCATACTCATTGCTCCTCATGGCCACTTCCAAATACTCTCTCTTCCACCATCACTCAGCAACTTCTCCTTCCTCTATTTAGATTTATCATCCTTTCTTTCTGCTGAGGGCAGTAATCAACCAATTAGTCCCTCAGGTTATTCTTCTTCCTCAGAATCCCATGTATCTTCTTCTCTAATCCAACTCCTGCCTATACATACACATATATGTACATACATATGTATATGTGTACATGTATGTATAGATTATGTGTATATTGTGTGCCTATATACATGCATGCGTACAAGTATGTGTATGTATACATATACAAAATGTAGACACTAATGTCCCTTCAAGCATGCTATCCCAGGTCATCAATTTCTTCAACTACTATGAACCTCATCATCCTTCTAGTTCATTTGCATATGAAGATGTTCATGCCCTTGATGTCATTATTCATGAGTAGTATTCCATTTCTACAATCAAACCTTCAAACCCCTCTAAGTATAAACTCTTGTCCCTCCATCTTTTCCTTTGCTTCACGCCCTCATAAACCTATTCCTTATGTCATTATTCATGAGTAGTATTCCATTTCTACAATCAAACCTTCAAACCCCTCTAAGTATAAACTCTTGTCCCTCCATCTTTTCCTTTGCTTCACGCCCTCATAAACCTATTCCTTATGTCATTATTCATGAGTAGTATTCCATTTCTACAATCAAACCTTCAAACCCCTCTAAGTATAAACTCTTGTCCCTCCATCTTTTCCTTTGCTTCACGCCTGCATAAACCTATTCCTTATCCTCATCCCAATTTCTAGTCACTCCTCCTCCTCTTATTTCCTAGTCCATCAATGTTGCTCTCACCTTTCTTTTAAATCTCCATGCCAAAACAGCCAATTAGTTCAGCTTCATGCTGTCCCCAACCTTTGAATCCTTTCTTTTCCTTTTTTTTTTGACACATACATTTCCAAATCCCAGCCCTGAATTAACCTCACCATTCTCCTTCATTCTTATTTAGATGCTGCTGAGCAAGGAAAATAAGTCACACAAACAAGGTGACTGAGTCTCATACAAATTTACAGGATCTAATCTTAACTACTACATGGTAATTCTTTTGCTCTCTCCTGATTGACTATCACACTTCCCAAAGCATCTTTTTCCAAACTTTCTCTCTTCCAAGCCACTTCTTTCCTCCCACTCAGCAGGAGACCTCATCTCTAACTAGAAAATTGAGGCTTTCTTTTAATAATTCCCTTTTCTCTACAATCTGACTTTAAATTCCCACTGTTACACATTTGCTCCAGTATCAGAAAAAGAAACAGAACTTCTCCTTACCACTTACATTGATCATTTCCTCTCCTATCTCCTTCTGGAGCTTGCCCCTTCAATCATCTCCATTCTTTTTAGATATTAAACATTTATCTTCTGGCTCCTTCCCCCTTACCCTAAAATCAGAACAAATCTCCCCCACTCCTACAATTCCTTCACTTCATCTGCCAATGCCTTAAATTATCATAATAGCTCACTCTTCTTTCACTATACAATTCCTAGTAGAAAAACTATATACATTGATGTCTCAACTTCCTCTCTTCCCAGTGACTTTTCAACCCCTTGTAATCTTACTCCCAACCCTATGCTCAAATGAAACTATTCCATGCAAGGCTATCAATAATCCCTTAAATAATTAATACAATGGACTCTTCTGAATCCCTATCATCCTGAAATTTCTGTGGTTTATGACACTATTGACTCCCACCTCTTTGACACTCTCTCCACCCTGGTATTTCCAGACATTGCACTCTCCTGCTTCTCCTCTATGTGTCTGAATATTCCTTCTTAGTCTCCTTTGTTGGATCTGATGGGGTTATGGGATTCCCACTGGACCCATAGAAGGAAAAGACCATGTCTTTGAACACAACCTAGCCCCAGAACTTTACCACACAGGCCAGACCACTTAACTCCTTTCATTGTCTGCCTCTGGCCCACCCCAGGCTACCTGACACTCCTTAATCCCATTCAGACCCTTTCTCTGGCTATTTACCATTCCTTAATCCCATCCAGATCCTCTCAGTCTTTTTCTGTATAAAAGTATCAATCCTATCCTCATCAAATTCATAGATTTACTAAGAATCTTGCCCATCTAGCCAGTGTTACAACAAAACCTCACTACTCTGACTGAAAGAAGCTTGAGTGGTTGAATTCTCTCAAGGCAGAGCCCTTATACCCTTGCATTTTGACCTTCCCAGCACCCCAAACCACAACAAATCCTCATTTGTGTTCTGCCCCTCATACCTTGTCCTGCTTTTTCTCTTTGCTTCCAACAAACAAACAAATATTTACTGAATTCTGCTATATGTCTAGTCCCATGTTAGGGTACAGATCTGTTCTTTCATGACCACCTAAAAAAACCGGTCTGTGTAGTATATTTTCCATTTTTTCACAGAATCATAGACCATTAGAGCTATCCAAAGATGGAATAGGCTACCTTGGGAGGCAGCAGGTTCCTTCTCACTTGATGTCTTCAAGAAAAGGTCAGACGGCCACTTAGAGGGAATATTGTAAAGGTATTTCTTGGTTAGGCATAGATTGAATTATATGGTCTCTGAGTTCTTTCTGAAATTCTGTGATTCTATGAGTGGATGATTTATCCAAGAAAAATAAAGCCTTGAATGAAAAGAACAGGGACAAGGAAAGATCCTTGAAAAACAGTCGTGTGAAAAGTTTGGGAAAAGAATGATAAACCAAAGAGTAGAACAGGAGATAAGAGAACATGTCATCTCTTAAACTAACAAGAGAGGGTATTCAGAAGTATTGAGTAGAAGTGAGTGTTCAATAGCCAAATGCTACAGAGGGATCAAGGAGAATGAGTTGAAAAGAACCATTTGATATGTCAATTAGGAGATCACTGATGACATTAGAAAAAAGCATTTTGGCACAGTAGTGGGGGAGGAAGCCAGATCATAAGAGGCTGAGGAGAGTGGGAGATAAAGAATAATGAGTCAATTTTTTAAAAGAAATTTAGAAGTCAAGGGGAAGAGAATCAATCAGCAATCACCTACTATGTGGCACAGAGAGGTAATTAAGTTCTGCCTGATACATACTGATTTTGTGAAGATAAGCAAGTCATTCCATTTCTCAGTGCCCCAGGCAACTCTTTCCAAGACTTACACATTACAATGGTGGAAAGAAGTTCCTAGACCAGTGAAAAATCATAGGTCCACTACTTATTCCCATACCTTATCTCTGTTGGGTATTGGCAATACATATATAAAACCGAGAAAATCTTTGCCCTTAAGAAACCTGGATCCTGAGACACATGTTCATCTCTAAATGAATGCAGGTTACAGGCAAAATAAACAGTGATTTGAGAATGGCACTAAGAGCTGAGGGGGATCAGGAAAGGTCTCTACAAAGGAGAAGCAATTGAGGTAAGTCTTGAGGGGAGTTAAGGGTTCCAAGAAGCAGAGATGAGGAGGCAGAGCATTCTAGGCATGGAGATAATCTATGAAAAATCAAAGGAACAGGAGACGCAATGTCAAGTTTGGGGATCAGAAAGTAGGATAGGACAGCCTTGCTAGCGCGTAGAGTGTGTTGGGAGGATTAATACATAACAACCCTGGAAAGGTAGACTAGAGAGCCATTCCCCCATAGATAAATGGTCAAAAGATATAAAAAGGCAATTCTAAAAAAGAGGAAAACAAGCTACCATGATCATATTTTTTAAATGTGCCAAATCCATTATCAGTATAAAGCAAGTTAACACAACTCTAAGGTTCCACCTCACACTCTTCAGATTGTCAAACATGACAGAAAAGGAAAATCACAGGTATTGAAAGAGTGGTGAGTGGATAGGCATGCTAAAGCACTATTTTTGAAGCTCTGTATTCATCCAGCCATTCTGAAAAGCAATTTAGAACTACACATCCAAAGTCACTAAATTGTACGTAGCCTTTGACCAAAAGATACCACCACTAACCCTGTATTCCAAAGAAGTCAAAGGCACATAGAAAAGACATATTATAAAAATATTAATAGTAGTAAGATGGAACAGTGGATAAAGCACCAGACCTGCAGTCAGGAAGACCTAACTCAAATCCAGCCTCAGACATTTGCTAGCTGTGTGACTCTGGGAAAGTCACCTAAGCCCTATTTGCCTCAATTTCCTTATCTGTAAAATGTGGATAATAACAACACCTATCTCCCAAGTATATTGTGAACATAAAATGAGATAATAATTGTAAAGCACTTAACATAGTGCATGGCACATAGTGTGCACTAGATAAATGTTAGCTATTATTCTTATCATCATCATTGTTATTAGCAGCAGAAGTATACTTTTTATTATAGCAAAGAAATGGAAACAAAATGTATGTCCACCAACTGAGGAATAACTAGACAAATTGTTGTGTATAAATGTAATGAAATATTATTTCACTCTAAGAATTGCCAAAGGACAAATTCAGAGAAACTTGGGAAGACTTGTATAGACTGAAGCAGAGTAAAGTGAGTGAAAGCAAGATACTCCCTCACATGTCTCTCTGCCATTGCCCTGGACATCTCTAATCCCTGGAATAGCCTCCCATCTTAGCTCCGTTTCTAACAGTCCTTTTCTTCCTTTAATACACAGCTCAAGCTGTGGCTTCTGCTCAAAGCCTTTCCTCATTTCCCCCAACCTCTAGTGCCCTTCCTTTTCATTTTACATTCAAGTACTTTATATATTTGTGTTTATTCACAATTGCTTTATGTTATATATGCATATATAATAACATGTATACTTACTGTCATCCCTATTAGAATGGAATCTCTTTAAGTGTAGGGATTATTTATTCTTTACATTTGCATCCCTAAAACTTAACATAGTGCTTTGGTACATTTTAAGTACTTAATAAATATTTGTTGATTTATTGATTCATAAGAATTGCAATGATTGAAAGGAAACCAAATTTGAAAAACTTAAGAACACTTATTATAACAATGGCCAATCATGACTTGAGAAAAGTAATGATTAAGTATGATTCCTTCCTCTTGGCAGAGGGACTA